TAAAAATCATTGTCTATGGAAAGTCCCCATTAAACATGAAAATCCAACGTGTGTGTGTGTTTGGCAAAATCACAAGCTGAAATTCTGAATCTTTACTTTTTGTACTAAGTCCATTGTTGCAGGAGGCAAGCCGAGAAATCTGACATTTGTTCCTTTTGTCAGGTGTGTGTGCACACGAGGCTTGGTCAGCAAGGTGTGGTCCCTCATCCAGTGGGCCGTCATCACGGCGGCTGCTGTGGCCATCTTTGCCCTCAGTGTGGTGAGCTACATGTCCTACATATGCAACCTAATAAGTCATATGTGATTTAGGAGGCTTTGCATCTCATACAGTCATGTTGAAAATGCTTTGCATAACTGTTTTAAATCTCAAATGCTACACAGTTGTACTAGTGAATTTGCGTTTGTTAGCATTTCCTGTAAAGAAAAACCTATATTATTTTTATAACAAAGTATATATAATTTTTGTTTCTTTTTAATTGCTTCAGTTTTTATTACACACAAGCAATACACTGCCCTCTGCTGTCCATAACCATAAAACATGATCTTTATAGATCAGTGATTCTTTACCAGGGGGCGATACTCTGTACAGTTCCAAAGGGGGCCTCAAGATGGCGTAAAATTATTTAAAATAATAGAAAATGTGCTTTAAAATAAGAAAGCTATAGGACATTTCTATAACAAATATACATTTTTAAAATGGTAGAAATTGCTGAGAAATGACTTTGTAAGTAAAAAAGTCTTAAATCACAAATGACGCGAGTCATGTAAATTCACTATTAATCATGTAAATAAATAAACATACAGTTTTTTAACTGCTTCTGTAATTTATGGATTTAAAAAAAAAATGTTGTTCAAAAAATTCAATTAAGCATTTAATTAAATTGATTTATATACTGCAAGTTTCTGTAAATAATAAGGTTTGAAAATGAGCAAGTTTTTCCTTTACAACAGAAATCTTGGGTGGCCTTCAATTATTGTCTTTGACAATGGGGAGATGTAGAAGCACTGTTATACACTCTGAACTGCTGCAATTTAACAATATATATATATATTTTTTTACTGCCTCTGTAAGTAAGTACATGTGTGTTGATGTTTCCTCTCAGGTTCCATACACAGCCATGACTGGCATACCAGTAATATCTGAAGTGCGGGACTTGTACAGCGCCGTGGAGAAGTTCCAGCTGGTCGGGGCATACGGGATCCAGCACAGAATAATCTCCACTGAGGGCAGGCCTGAGATCATTTTAGAGGGAAGCTATGATGGCCTGACATGGACGGTGAGAAACACAATGGGGAAGGATGCCATTCAACAACAATCCAAATCTTTTTTACTCTCTGAGTAATGACCCAGCCAGCCATTGTTTCCATGAAGTATTCATTCAACGGAAAGGTTCAAGTTTATCCTCAGTGGACTGTATTCTTTTCCTGTTGCAGGAGATGAACCCCATGTATAAACCAGGAAATGTGAACACCGCCCCACCCATAGTAGGACCTTACCAGCCCCGGCTGGAGTGGCTGATGTGGCAGGCGGCTCAAGAGGGGAGCGATCAAAGCCCCTGGTTTACAGGCCTCGTGCAGCGCCTCCTACAGGGCAAACCAGAGGGTGAGCGACCATAGCAGGGGTCACTACTTATCAGCCTACATTTGAGTTGTTGTTAACCTGTTTTTCCCTCCTTTAGTGTTTAGTCTGCTTCAGGTAGATGAAGCGCAGTTCCCCTTCAGTCAGAAACCACCAGCACTAGTCAAAGCCAAGCTTTACAACTATCACTTCACAGACCCTGCCAAAGACAAGTGAGCTCCATTCCTTTTTATTTTACACCCATTCACATTAGGATATTGTGGTTTTATATTAGTGCTAGATTTTGTGAAAATACTTTTTGTAAATGGAGAGAATAATTTAACTGGGTAACACTTTACTTGAAGGGGTGTGCATAAGACTGACATGACACCTTCATAACCATGACATGAACATGAAGTAGGGTTTATGACAACTGTCATTAAGTGTCTTTCGCTCAATAATGACATTTTGAATGTTTAATATGTCTTTATGACATATTGACAAACCATAACAACTTGACATGAAATTAAGTTAAACTGTCATGTGGTTGGGTGTCATTAATATTTTTTGTGACCTCAACTACAGTGCTACTAATTGAATTTGTCTTTAAAAAGTTATAATGGCTTCATGACAGCCGATGTCAAAACCAACCACCTGACTGTTTAATGTAATGTTAACCAATAAAGCTAGGTGGTTTCTTAAGTTTGATCATTAATCTGCTATGTCATGTTAATGACAGGTTGTGTTGTCCTAGTAATGTCAAGGTGTCATGACAAAGACACTGACGGGTTATGATGTGTTGGTTTATGTCAAGTTGTCATAACAAAGACATTTCAAACAATGTCATATTTGCATTAAAAATGCCATAACTGAGCGAATGACACTTAACGACAGTTGTCATAAACATGCATAAAACTTCCTTCATATTCATAACATATGTCATGATTATGAAGGTGTCATGTTAGTCTTATGCACACACCTTCAAGTGAAATGTTACCTAGAACTGTCTGGGGAGAAATAGAAATAATAATAAACATTTATAAAGTCGCATACCGGCCTGAATCCGCTCTCAGTTTTACTGTACTCGTGTTTGTTGTTTTGGAAGGACTCATCTGCAGGCTTGGTGGAGGCGGAAGTACAACGAGGAGTTTTTTCCCATTGTGAACCTTGGTGATCCGACGCTTGAGAAACTGCTAGATGAGTCTGGACTAAAGGTGAAGTAGAAGACTAGCATGAATCTCTCACAGTAATATGCATTGGGAAAGCAAATAGATTAAGTTAAGTGATTTAACTTTGACTACAAATGAACGCTGAAACATGTTTGTTTGCGTGCAGGAGAAATTCCCAAATCAACCCAGCTCAGACACACCTGTATGCCAAATCCTGAGCCAGATTCGGGGCCACGTCAAAGGCCTCTCGGGGTCCCTGGTGCTTTCAACACTGTTAGCAACTTTGGTCGGCATTTTCCTCGTCAAAGCCGTCTTTTCCTGGGCTTTAGGAGGCAAAAAACCCAGACCAGCTTCAGCTGATCACAAAACTAAGAAAGCCAAAGAGCCCGCGGAGAAAAGCCACGCCACGGCTTCTCTGTCCAACCGGGGCGGCAAAAAGGACTCTGAAGAAAGAAAGGTGGAATCAGAAAAGAGCCCCCGCAAGAGGAAATGAGCTCTTGCTGTCACTTTGTGCCTTTGTTTGGCCTGATGCAATGACAAAATGATTCTTTCTCAGGTGTACCTTTTTTTTTTTTTTGAGTCTTTTGATTTCCTTCATGTCACACACCTCAGATTTGTGTTTGCCACTACACCATTTTATCTCTTTGTGTCAAAACCACTCAAATGTCAAATGCACAGTATGCATGGTAGTCGGTGTAATTGGCTTTGAACATTAACCGAATCCATTTTTAAGCCGTCACCTACGCCCTTCTTTATACGCCGTGGATGTCCCAAAGATTACAACAAAAGCACAATGCAACTTTTTCATGCTGTTTATCTCATTAAATGGTTGTTAATAAATATTGTTCTTTAGTTGTTTTTCTAATCTTTAATATTTGTTCAGCTACAACAAAATCAACATCCAAAAAATGTATTTCACCTTAATTGAATGTTGAAAAGGTGCCTCTTTATAATGACATGGCTGGAATGTTTCTTGGATGAGTTATTTAATTTTAAACTTCACCTTATATTGTTTCTCAGGTATAGGATGTACCTGTTCTGTCAACTTAATCAACCTGTCAATCATACTTTTCATAGTTAATTGCATACCAGTTGTCAGTCAGCACTAGATGGCAGTGTAGATCACTGCACACTTGGGTTTAACGTTAATGGAATGAAATTTACTGAAAATATACAACTAGACAGGATTTTAAATGTTAAAGTGGGTCATATCTAATTAAAGGAGTAGTTCACTTAAAAAAAAACTAAAAAAAAACTTGCTGATAATTTACTCACCCCCATGTCATCCAAGATATCCATGTCATTCTTTCTTCAGTCGAAAAGAAATTAAGGTTTTTGATGAACACATTCCAGGATTTTTCTCCATATAATGGACTTCAATGGGAACCAAACGGTTCAAGGTCCAAAAGACAGTTGGGTGAGTAAAGTGAACTACTCCTTAAACTGTGAGGCCAAGTGTTTCATAATTTAGCAGAATTTACAGTATGCAGATTGCATTTATTTAGAATAGAAGTTTGAGGATGTTGAACAAATATCTAATGCTTTAAAGTTAACAGAAACTTTATTTGAACAGTGTTTTGAATTATATTATTACACAAGTGTTTAATGAATCATTAATACACAAATATGTGTGTATAATAAGTGTATTAATTATAAACCACATTTTAGGGTTCATATCACAGTGTATTCTTTGTTTACAATGGTCATTATTTAATAATAATGATGGATTACATGTAAATGTGCAATCATTTTGCGGATCATCTTGTAATTGCGGACTGTTATTACCGTGTTTAAAAGAGAAAATTGAAACCCGTCTTTGCTGTTTAAGTTGTCTTGAGTTTGACTGCTGGAAAGTGCCCGAAACAACTTTAAAACCAAGTGTTCAGATAGACACACCAAACCATTTCAATTTAGTCGTATATTATGTGTGAACGTCTTATCTTTAGCCTGAGCTGCTCTGCTAACCTGGTTAGGGTTTTTGGGTACTTTCAGCTTGTCAGCCTGATTTTTGAGGGGATTTGGGTACTTTTCAGTTGGTTTATGTTGACTGGTTTCCAGGCTGTACAGGTTCGTTTTGGCACTTTTCATCTGGTCACGTTGGTTTTAGGAGGAGTTTTTCGGACACTTCTCAGCTAGTTAGGCTGGTTGTAAAGGCATTGAGGTACTTATTAGTTGATGTAATTGGTTTTAGCTTTGGAGGATGGTTTAAACTGCTTTTTTCTCTTCTTCTTCTTTTTTTTTAAAAAGGCCACACACCAAACTCACTTGTGACTGAGTTTGGATGAGTCACCGAACCTCCTTTGAATATTTTTTTCTCTATTTTACACATAAAAGTGAGTCAAAGCGCCCTACCTTTTAAACACAGAGGACAGCTCCATCCGCCCCCCCATTCAATTCACAGAAGCCCTTCAGGGCGAAATTACGCACAGGCGTCGCGCGCTCAACACGCTACGCTCTCCATCGAGACCGTAGGAGAAAGACACGCCACAACCACTCATCCCGTCCTGTGATTATCTCTCCATTCAGATGAGCAGGCGGAAACATGCCTGCATTCCGCTGTCAGGGAAAGCGAAGAAAGTAAGGAGACCTACGGCTGATTTGTTTTTAATAATCCCATGTTCCACATGAGGGAGATTAAGGTGAGTACACGCACTTTTGGATACGCGCACGCACACAGCGTAACCAACTCACTTTCTATGCAATCGTTTATTACTTTTCATTACTTTATTGGGGGTGTCTTGTAAATGATTATGATTAAGAAGAACACGATCCTGTGATCATGTTCAGACTGGATAGGCGTTATTACTGTCTCTAATACTGTAACTACATTGAGACTTTTTCGTTACAGATCGGAGAAAGCATTTGTGTATTAGTGTTGCTTTTTTCTGGGCTTGTGACGTGCTCAGGTGTTTTTGGAAGCCCTTTAACTGATGATGTGGCCACGTTGGAAACATTGGTAAGATCTGCAACAGAGTTTTTATTCAGGCTGGTTTTAGAGGGATTTTAAGCTGTTTCTCGTCTGGTCACGCTGAAGGACTAGTTGAAGACCAGCTTAGCCTTCTTGGAGACTAAACCATTTTAGGCTGATTTTTTTTAGCAGGGAAATCAATGACATTTGTACATTTTTTCTACACTAGTCAGGGCTTTGTTTTCTTTTTTCTTTTCTTCTTTTGTTTCCCCTATTGACTAATTGAAATAGTACATTATACAGCCAACCTATTCTTGTTTTTCAACCCATCAGAGTGAGAACATTCCCAGTGACTACAGAATCCCTATTGACTTCATCACCAAGGATGTGGTTAGTTTGATACATGATACTATTTGATGATACGGATGGATCTACAGTGGCCCAAAATCATATTTGGACAATTGAGCTGCGCTTAATGAATGAATTTAATTGCATTAGAGGATAAAATTTCAGACCTCATGGCAAACAAATGATGCAAAGCTGTTTCATCATGTAAACCTAACACTTTTTATCTGGAATCATGCATGTTTCTTTGAACTAAACAGCCCAAGGTTTGAAATTTTGATATTTGGTGCAAGTGTCCAAATTAACTTTGAGGCCATCAGCAGATAAAACATTATGTTTCACATTGGGACAGATTGCTTGTGGTTTGTGACGGTTCCAGGAGTGACGCCTAAATATTTTTCTTTTCTGATATTCAAGGGTGGAGCTTGCTGGCTATATGTAAACCTGTATAAAGTTGAAAGCAGTTTAAAAACATTGGCCCTCAAGTTTGGCAACCTGTCCACCAATAAAGCAAACATCACAATTTTTATAACAATGCTGCAGGGTTTCCGTTTTACTCTGGAGGGAGAGGAGCTGGTAATTCATTCTTATTTACATTCATATTCTTTGAAACGTTGCCATGGCTGTCGGCTCACTCTGGTTTGTTTGTCTTCAGGAGGTGATGATGCAAACATTCGAATGTCACTACAAAAGGGTAAAGTGGCCATCTAGACGTTACTTCAACCATGTTAAAGAGGTTCTTGCAGTGGCCGGGTCCACTCTCGGCGAGTTTCGTCACTGCACACCTCCCCCCTGCCAGACCCCCGCACCCCCGCCTTTCACACCAGGTGAATGCACAAAATATTGTTTTGTCATTTAAATGATGCATGAGCAGGCCTTGATGGAATCTGAGGTTTTTTGGAGGGGAAATATCTGCAGAATGGATGTAATTCTGCAGAATTGATGCAAAGATATTAAAACAATGGATACCGGTATGTAAAATGTCCAATTCTGTGGAAAACTGTTGATGTTTTTCAGGCTTCCAAAGAGGCAGATTCCATCATGAGTTTGTTTAAACTTGAGTACATGCATGCAATTTGAGCATTTGTGTGCAAAACACACACTATAGCTGGTAAATCAGTAGTCTTGATGTTTGTAAAGCAGGAGTGTAGCGTTAACCAAGCATGCAGTGACTTTCTCGAGAATTGTGTGAAAGCATTTTTTGTGGGGTCCTGTATAAGAATGTTCTTGACCTCCATAAAGATATGATTTACTGAGTCTGGTGTGGTGGAACTTGACAGGCCTCTACAAAGGCCAGACCTGTTTTTAACTTAGACTTTTGTCTTGTTTTTTAAAAATGTAAATGTGTAAAACATATTCTTTAAGTATTCTCAATATAATGTTTAGTTTTAGTTGACATAAAGTGCTTAATCAATTATTAAAACATTTTAATACAATATGTATTCTGTCCTTGTTGTGAGAACGAGAGCTCCTAAAATACTATAGTATTATGAATTATTTATGCTTTTTTAATTCATTGTCTGTGTTTTAGCGCATGAAAAGAAGACCGTATTCACAACATGAATTCGGATTAGCACGTAACTTTTATATATGGTTAATCAAGATGCGTTTCATTTTACCAATAGTCATTAGTTTCAGCTTGCTTATTAAATGGATAAATGCTGCTAAAATTACAATACTTAGTTTCTAAAGGTCTTGGGGTTTGTGAGGGAACTGCAGGGAGTTGATAAAAAAATGAAAATTAAAACATAATTTTAAAATGAAAGCATTTATAACAAAATAAATGCTTTTTAAAAATGATTAAATTGTTGTTAAATCCAATATATATATATATATATATATATATAATTTTATTATATTGTTGTCTGAGGTTGTATGACGTTCGCTTAGTTTTTGCAGTCAAAAACATCAAAATGAACAAGTAATAGGCTATTTTCTACTCTAGTTTTGAATCTACCTGAAAAACGCTCAGTTTTTATGGGCATCTCGCACTGAAGACTTGGAAGTAAACGCCCACTGCTGTGAGTGGATAACAGTTTGGCATATTATAATGAGTTTCAACTCACCCGTCGATGCACTTGGGGGAAATTGTTTTGAAAACGTCCAATGTTGTAAAATGGCAACTGGAATGATTCGCCTATACATGTTCGACCCAGAGTCCGTGTGTTGCACAATTCCAATCAGCTGGAACGTCATTAAAAATACATTTTATCCATGCAGTCCTATTGGAATCCAGAGGAAGCTTAAGCAGCGACTGTCTTCTTCCACAACCAGGCACTGCACAATATTCTATATTGCTCAGTATGCGTATAATGCGTGAATCGGTGGGCGGGGCTAAACCGGCCGTGTTGAAGTAGGCGTTGATCTTCTTCTGCGGGGGTGGTGTTTTATCCTCTTTGTCGTCATAGTTCCCCACTTTGAAAAACGAGTCGTTTACTCAGCCTGGTGTCAGTAAAAGCTTTTATTGGACTAACAAGGACGTTTTCAGTTCTGAAACTTACAGGATATTCTTATAATATGATGACCTCTTCGATGTCAAAAGCTCAAGGAAAATTTGATTTCTCAGTTCATCACCCCTTTAATATTAAAGGTTTACTGTTTTTTTATTTCTACCTGAATCCAATTAGGGTCCATGTAAACCGCAACATAAAAACCTTACCCAAAATTTGAACATAAAACAAGTTTAACTACCATTTTCATTAGTAATTTCATCGTGGAGATTAACACTGGCTCACTGATGCTCTTGTGTTTGAATGGAATCAAATGTCCTAATTATCCCCTAGGGAGGATAATGATTTTTTAAATGCTTTTGAAATGAAATTCTCAGCAAACAAACACAAATGGGTGTGGTGTTGTCCACATACTTCTTTCTATATAGTCTACCTGTCCTGAAGGCACCCCAACACTGTTTTCTCTATCTCCCTAATCAAACACAGCTCATCAGCTCATGAGTTGAATCAGGAGTGTTTGATTAGGGAGATAATGTGTTGGGGTGCCTTCAGGACAGGTTCGGGAACCACTAATACACGCAAGAACTAAAAAGGGAATTTGCTTTTACATTCTGGCAGGCAAAAGCAGACAGCAGAACGGTGTGAACGGAGCGATTCACGGGCTCCTGGCGGTGCTCATCATCCCCTGCATGGCCCTTCTTGTTCTCTCTGTCAGCATGGTAAGTTAGTACCCTTATATTTTATACAATATATAATCATGTTTACCACCAGCAGATATAGCTTTTCCCTGCGTCACGATAGTGAGAAAGCCCTGAAGGCGTTCAATAAAATTTTTGGCATTTTTGCATTGACATGCTTCAAGAACACCCGTGTCTCACTAAGGTCAATTATGATAGAAAATACAAAGTTTTCTCAATCTGCAGGTATTCAGAAGAGGAGGCTGTTGTTCACAAAGAATGCATGAAGTTGCTCTCAGTTTGCCTGAGGCCCAGGACGGAGCGGAAGAAAGCAGAACCGAGCCCCACGGCGGAGCTGCGCGAGGGGATTCTGGTTCCAGCTACAGCAGTCAACAGGACAGGTAGGAGTCTGTCAGATGCAACCAGTCTTTGTCTTTTTACCAGTTAACGAGACCTAACAAAGCCCATTTTTCCATCACCATGTGGCATCCTCACAGGGCGTGGCTGGATTCTTTAGGGTGTGCAGACACGGAGGTTTAATCAAAAATGCATGAGGGAAACCAATGGAAACAGCAGTATTTTTGTGGTCGAAATAACCGGATATATGAAGATGACAATGAAGGGAATATTTTGGCGGTGACAGGAGGAGTGCATCAGATGTTTCATCAAGCCATTAACCAACCAATGAGAATCCGGGATGCCATCCTAAAAACAGCCATGGAAAAACCTTTATGATTTCATCCGACAGGAAGTGTATGTCTTTGATGGGCTGGTTGGCTGCAATGCCCGCGGCAGCTCGTTGTTTAGAGGAACGCTACTGGTCCTGTAGGCCTCTGTGCAGAGGATAAATGGCTTTTTTGTGCCAGCGCCCCATTGCATGAGGACGGTGGTTAATGTTTCACCAGAAAACGTCTCTGGAACAGAGCATGGGCTTGTCTAGAAACACGTTTGATTTAGAGCGTGGACAACAGTGCTACGATTTTTGGCGTTTTACTACTCATTTGTTCGCTGATGGAGGGGATCTTTAAGCCCCTGATGCGTGTCTGTGAATCCTCACAAGATCCGGTTCTTCTGTAGCGGGAGGTATCCGACATCGCGCCCTCGTTTCATCCACTTTGTCTCTCTCACACAAACACACTCCAGCTGGAAGAATCCAACGTCTCTGTCCCTCTTGCGAGGGTCTGTAAGACAGGTCATCGGTCCGATTGCGTTGAATTAACTAGCTTGGCCGTGTACACATGCTCACACACTCTGGCGGCTCAACAAGAGCTGATTGTTTTCGAGACAATATGGGGAAATCCAGAGAGCATGAGAAAAGAGCTCACATGATAAAGATGTAACATCAACATGACTCATGTCCCTTAATTTAATCCCACTTGCTATAGAATCTCTCGCTCGTTCTCTTCCGGTGTCTGTTTTTCTTCTCACTGTAGCTGAATAATATTTATGTCATGAGATTAAGGTCTACTAAGTAGATTAGAATCGATTTTTTGTGTGTGATTAGAACACCATTTAGAATAGAATTCCATTTCGTTTTTTAAAGGGGTAGTTCACCCAAAATTGAAAATCGTTTGCTCACCATGAAATCGTATGACTAACTTTCTTCCATAGAACACAAAGGCGTTTTGACGAATGTTCTGTCTAATGGAGATGCTCATTGTTAATGTGAACTACACCTGTTCTAAGACACCTTTAAGAACTGACTTCATAAAACACCAGTTAGTTAAAAGACATTGTAAAATTAAGTGAAATTTGTGCAAATTTGCTTTTTTGCACTTGTTTTTGTTGATACCCCTTGGTTTGATACTTTGCATCTAATGCAATTGAACTCATACAGTACATAATATATGTGACTTAAGAATCCAAATACATTTTCTAAAGGGATTTTGAAGTGCACTGATGGGCATTAAGTGAACTGCAGCCAACAACTTGTGCTTGCATTCATGCACAGGTAACGTACAAGAGACTGAACGTGATTCAAAGCCCTGATATACTCAAAGTAAAGTTATTTTTAATTTTTTGTTTAGAAGGTGAAGGTTTCGGTACAAGATGTTCACACATTGGCAATAAAAAAAGCGATTAATATATGAAAATTCTTTCATATAGCCCCTTTATATTTCGGTTTATTGTGCACAAAGCTGCCCTAGAATATTGTTGAATGTGGACTACATTTAGAAATGTATTTGTTGCTTTCTTTATTTTTGGAGCTTGAATGGCCATTGTCTTAATATAAGTGCAGCATGAACATTCTTCAAAACATCTAATTTTGCGCTCCCCAAAACGTGAGGATGCATTAATGACAGGGTTTTTTTTTTAGATAAACTATTTCTTTAAAATATGACCCAAAACAACCCCTTTATGCTATTTTCGAATAGTTTTTGTTGATAGTCCTGAAAATCCCCCATTGACTCATTGTGCATCACTCTGTCATTCTTCCAGAGTGGAATCAGGTACTGGCAGTGGAAATCTCAAGCTCCTCTCCATGTAACTTTCTCTGTTGTCTCCATCAATGCGTGCGCTGTCAACTGTTGTCGTAAAGCATGACTGCCAACTCATAACCGCACGAGGTCGATAATGTCAGCCTGGCTATCATCAACCGCAGAGTGACCGTAACAAAGGGTCCTCTCATGCGGACAGAAACGCCGCTCTTTATGGTCTATAGTGAGTGTCGTCCATCAAACTTCAGTCAAAGCCCACTCTTGACTCGCCGACTCAGCTTCCGACACACACACAGACACATTCACACACTGAACGGCCCCCAGTGTCATTGACATCCAGTCTTGACTCATAAAGCAGGTCTGAAGTGTGTAATGATTTACTAAACAACCCCTTGAATCATCTGAATGTCATCTCCGTGGCACGAAAAGCAAAGAATGATTAATGGTTTACGCGCATTTTTAAATATAGTTTGTGTGTTTTTTGTTCTCTATTGATTAGTAATAAGCAAAAGAATGTAAATATATAAAACGTGTATAGTTTAAGTAGAAAACAGGTAGATTTTTTTTATTCTTTATTTAAAAAGAGTAACAATTGTGTATTTTATATTCATTAATATTTTCGCTATATAACAGTGTTGTAAAATTAAATAATAATATTCTTGCAAGTTATATTGTGTGGATTGTCTCATATTATATCGATTATGATTTCAGGTCAGTATTTTTATATAATTACACTTATGCAATACATGTAAACTTGTCATGGGGCATTCATTCAAATAAAATGGAAGCTTAAGATAACATCTTTAAAAAAATGAGTAAAATGTCTGTCATCGAACCCAAAACAGACTTCTACAGAAATCTGTTAAAAACCTTTTGACCTGAGAGGTCTGGAATGAGTTTTTTGAGAAGCCGATGCTGGTTGTCTTTAAAATGACAAACGATACCCCTGGGAACAGGCACAAACCTGAACTTAGTGAAAGAAAACAATGGTCTTACGAGAAGGTTTTAAGTTGGTCAGACATAGACCGCAGCTTGCTCTTTGTACAGCACGTTATTTTTAAAACACCAAATTAGCCCATCCCAATCTGATCACATTACGCCAGTGAAGAAATCTGTCTTTAGTAATCATCATGATTGTAGCTCTGATGGTAGTTCTGGTGATGCACATACCCCTGATCATAACTACCATTATAGCTCTGTTGGTGTTGCAAATTATGAGGGCGAGAATTGTACATTTGACTGTTGCCCTGTTCGTAAAATACTGGATTGTTATATTGATCGTTATTCTCGTCAGCATATGTCCTGTGAGGATAGTCCCCACTGTCCATTTGAGGGTTAGGGGTTTGAATTTCAAACTGGTGGTTTTCTGCACTGTAAGGCTGGTGTTCAGGCTCGGCTGCAGGGTTCTCCTCCATGTCGTTCAGCAGATTATTAGGATGCAGTTCCTTCGTTTTGCGGCCAATGCATTTGTAGGTCTGGACGCCAAAGATAAGCTGAAGAATCTGAGCATTATGAGACAAAACGATCCAAATGCATTAGATTTGTGCTTGTGTGTTTATATTAAAGGTAAGACTTTACAATAAGGTTCTATTCGTAACACATTAGTTAACATCTCAGCTAACAACGTTTGGTTCCCAGAACAGATATACTAACGTTCTCTGTTGGTTAGCCAGAATATTTTTCTTTACATACATAAATAGAATGTTTCCTGTTGGTTTGGAGAACATTCTCAAGTTCTCGGAATGAAGTTGTGTTTTGGTGTTTTGATCTATTGTTTAATCATTAGAAATCATCCAAGCACATAAAGCGTTATATGAATGATTAATTTAGATTCGATTTGTCCATTAAAATGTAATATTTGAAGAGTTCAGATGCAAAAGCCTCTAAGTGCCATTTGAAATTTTCTTCTAGAATGATCATTTTTTATCAAGCTTGTATATTTAAGTTCAGTAATTTCAATTAAATTGCAATGAAGATTACCTATTAATTGTCATTTAAGTGAAATTACTGAACTTGAATATATAAGCTTGATAAAAATGATCATTCTAGAAGAAAATTTCAAATGGCACTTTTGCATCTGAACTCTTCATTTGTAGAGCTTGTATGTACCACAATAACCCATATTTGTATTCAATTATAATATGTACAATTGGAAAAACAACTATGGGACATCGTCGTGCATAATCTCAAAGTTGACCCAGGTAAATGTGTGCAAATATATAGGTCCCCATTCCTATATTTTGCCTGGGGCCTCTAAATCACTAAATCCTCCCCTGCAACTGCGAATAGATTGAAATAAACGCTCGTAGCATCGTCTCTGTGTATCTGTTACATCCATAAATCCTCTAGCGTATTTTACTTTAGCTGTATAAGTCCAAGATGTCAACTTGTACTAACCCAGAATACTATTTTAACTGGTTGCATGTTGTGTGAAAAATCATTTAGTTGTTTGCTCTCTCTTTACCTGGATCAAAAGAAGGCCAGCCTCCATCCCAAATATTACGATTATATTCATCTCTAGCCAGTCCACAAGAACCTTCTCACAGCCCTATTACCAAAAAAAAAAACCATGGTTTTAGTGTGCATGTCAAATCAACAGGGAATCTTTTATGAAGTAAAGATTGGGATGATGGGAAAAGGCACCACATGTTACCGTTTTATAAATGTCTGAACCCTTTCCAAAGCTGTGTGTTCCATCCACAATAATTGGGCAGGTACCATTGAAACAGGAGCACGGGTAGATGTCAGCCTCTTCCAGGGATTCAATAACTGTGTTATTCCTCCATTCATTTGAGGTCAGTCTACCACAGCATTTTGCCTACAGCAAATATAATAAAAGTACCTCTTTCAAACCACCTTGCTGATTGTCAGAAAAGACTGTTGCATTTAGGATCAGTAAAGGTGCAAATCATGCACTTACAGCAGTCTGCACACTATCTAGAAGTTTCCAGGACGTTTGGGTTTCATTTCCTCCATACTGCCTAATGATGCCGTCCACATTATCCCTCAAATATTGCCCAATCTGTTAACATCCCACATATGCGTTAGGTTAGACAATTTGTTTAATCGTTATATCAAGCAGTTACTTCCTAGCGAATGTCTCAAGTGAATTTGAAGTATTAATAAAGCAAAGACTTGCCGTCTGCTTTTGTATTATTAGCACTAATGTGATGAAAATCTGACCCAGTATGATGACGATTAAGAAGCACAGATACTGAAACAAAAGCAGAAAAGATTAAATGTTAATGGCAAGCTTTTGTAAAAGTTATTATCAGTGTCTTTGTGTGCATGAATGTACAGTCATGCTTACAAATATGATGGAACATCTGCTCTCAAAATAGGCACCGGCACAACCCAGCAAAGACACAGCAACCACAAAAAGTCCGATGAAAAAGAGCCCCCCAGCCACCACCTTTATTTCTTGTTCTGAGAGACCACACGTTTCGCTTCATTAACACCACAAAATCAGACAAACGCTCACTCTAAATTGGTTATGAACGATGGACTCTTTTTTTAAATGAGAGACAACATTTTGCCTTAAAACATGGTGCAATTTGCAATAAAAATGTGTAAGATAACTCATATGTTGTGTTGAAACATAATGATAGACTATCACAAACTTACCAGAGCTGAGAACACTTACAAAGCTGTCTGTGTCAAACAAAATCCAAGCAGAACACGCAAAAAGGCTGATGCCAAGAATCTGTCGAGATTATTTACTTTGTTACTTGTTTGTACATGTCATGGATGCATGGAAGTCTATGTCTTTATTTACTGCTGGCAGAAAACTAGCACATCACATTATGGGCTGAATGTCAATGTCCACTGTATGATTCATATATCTGATTGCTGTCCAGAATGTAATGAACATAAAATGTCTCTAAAATTCTTGCCAATAACATACAGATCTATCCCATATTTAATCTTACCATAAAGACGGTATTGACAAGCATTAGAAAGAATTTCAGGATCTGAAGTTTGTCGTCTGCTTTCATGTTGCCTTTAACTGTTACAGCTTCACATGAAACCTAAAAGAGGTTGTTCGAAAACGGACACAAAATTACAAAAACCCATAGATTTCACAAAGAAATTAAAAACAAAATACTGAATAACACATCAAATCTATACTGTCAACTATACTGCCACAGGAATTCACTTTCAAAGGTTTGAATTACCTGTATTGCTAAACCAGTTTTCCTTGTTATTTGTCCAATTTGGAATGGTAAACGTCTAAACCGTCTGAAGTTTTTACATTATATATCCATTTTTCTTCTGTGGTTCAAGTATGTGTATTTCATACCATCTGGTAACATAATGGTTTCCTGGAGTTCCCATTTGCATCTCAGGCTTAAAGTTCACTTCCTCATAACAACATGAATAATTAACTTTAACAATCACTTGTGTGCTTTTACACCTGTGACCGGTGTTTTGTTTGTTTAATTATGGGTTTTGACAGGGTTCAGAATGTGAAAAAAATTATTATCTTATTTCATTTTGCTATATTGTGCAATCAATGGTTTGTTTAGTTTGTTTCACCAGTTTCATCTAATAAACAGGTAGCTAGAAGTAACATGGTTTGAACTGTGACTTTTGGACATGAAACCACTGACTATTTTGGAAATATATAATTGTAACTTGGACTTGTTTCCTGCCTATAATAAAATAACAATTGAACTACAATGTAATTCCATTAAATAGCGTAATTTGATAGGAATCTAAGTAGAATCTGATATATTTTGTGTTAGTGCCATCGCCATCATCATCATCATCATCATCATCATCATCATCATCATCACCATCATCATCATCAGTACATTGGTCCAAACTGTGACATTGAAACAATTTGCCTTTTCAATAAGAAACCCTATTAGTGGATATGTATAGACCCTACTTTTTTTTAAGAAGCAACCGGAAGAAACCTATAGCTTGCGCCATCTGCTGGACTACATAAATTACCATATGTTCTATTGCTCCTACTCGACTAGTACTGCCTGAATAGTACTGAGCTTGATAGGTCATCGGCTACTCAAGTCTCTCCGTTTACATTTCCGGCACAGGTCGCAGCTGTACGAATGTATTTCGTTGTAGTTGTACTGGAGCCTAGGTTGATTTAAACACGCACCAATAGAGATGTCTACCGCTCTCGAGAGTTACATTAACCGTATCCTTTGAAGCATTTTATTATAAGCACACTGACAGTGTTGTGAATGTGGGCATTTTTATGTTTTAATGGTTCTGTTTCACTGGGCGCGAGATGTGGCGCGCGAGCAAGCGATTTAGCATGTAATGAACGTTATAAAGCCATCATCGCGTTTTAGTGTGCATTTACTACATTACAGTACTGTATTACAGTGTATATGCATAATGCATGGATAAATTGTGTCTGGTAATGTGTTTGTACAATGTATACTAGCATGCATGTAATATGTCTGATTATATATAATTGATAGAAATGTGCTATTTAACCATGTATAACTAAGCTATTTGAGTCTGTTCGTTCAGTGTACTCCGTTATATGCCTTCATTTAATATTTAAATGTGAACTGCCTAAGTAGTAGTGTGTGTGAGAGATAATATGTGATATGTAGCTTTACTACTGTATTTATAAGCCTGAACTGACATTTCAAGGGACAGTTGCCATCGTCACATCAGATGGCAGGATGATTGTGGTGAGTTCTTCTCAAGTAAACATTGTCTGTGTGCATTAATAAAGGAGCCTGCTTATGGAATTTATTGTCTTGATCTTAGGGGACGCTAAAGGGTTTCGATCAGACAATCAACCTCATCCTGGATGAAAGCCACGAGCGGGTGTTCAGCTCTTCCCAGGGAGTGGAGCAGGTGGTTCTGGGACTGTATATTGTCAGAGGTGATAATGTGTAAGTATTATGCTCCTAGTGTTTCTCATACTTGTTCACATAGTGCAAGACTTCATTTGATTTTTTAAAGCAATAATAGTAACAGACTTGTATGTTTATTTGTTTAAGGGCTGTAATTGGTGAAATTGATGAAGAAACAGATTCTGCGCTGGATCTTGGAAACATAAGAGCAGAACCGCTGAATTCTGTGGTGCACTGATGCCTCCCAAACAAGGACAGAAAAATCCACATTTAGATGAATCTCCTAGGAAATCTGCAGGCATCGAAAAGCAGCTATATTATTTGCCATTTTTAATCTTGAAGAAAATAGACTGAGTGCATATACTTTTTTACATGTGTTGAAATAAAAAAGTGGAAATTATTTGATTTAAATATTTCCTTATTTCTGATGGAGGGGAAAAAGGTGATGAAGACTGATGTAAGTATCCGATTCCTGTCATAACTTTAACTTTATGAATCTCTCAAAGACATATCCAGGTTATATTTCCACACAAAAGTCATAAAGAAAGTGAAGCATATTTTTAGGGTCAAAATGTTTTTATTGGTTCCCACGGTTCCTTGAAAATCCTTGAAAGTTTGTGAATCAGAAAAAAATATTTAAGGCCCTGGAAAGTTTTTGAAAACATTCATAGATACATGTCCTTGAAAGTGCTTGAATTTATTTTGTGATGGAAGTTTTCTAGAAAAAAAAAATCCATATTATATTATTCCAGTCTGCTAATGTGTTATTTTGCCAACACTTTGTGGCCTATGCACACTAGCTTTACTTGATTATCATTAGTTGCACACATTTACGCGGTACGTTAAGTGTTTCCTACGTGGGGTACTTTGTGTTGTACGTTGCCTTGACGTTCACGCATGGATGAAACTACTATGATGGTACCTGAACGTTTATTGTTGGACAAAACAAATGTGTCCCCACATTAAGTTAAAATAATTGAGGTTATTGGACCTGGAAAGTCCTTGAAGGTCCTTAAATTTGAAGTTACCAAGGTGTGGGAACCCTGTATAAAGGTAGTCACTATATATATATATATATATATATATCAGCTATTTCAGAGAATCTGCACATTACATAAGGGGTTCTGTAGGACATGATTTGTACCACTACATGGCAGCAAATAACACCTTATCTTACCATCTATACAACCTCATTTTATTACAAAGAAAAATATAATCGCTATTAGTTGGTCTGATTAAATACACAGAGAAAAACATAAATGAAGCACCAGGATTATGCTTTATGGGTGTTTTGAAGAGCAAAAAAGTGTGAAAATAAAGTCAGCACAATCATTTTGAAAAACCCCAAATAGAATTCACTTTGTGGAATCGGATTCCTTTCACCTTCTGACAGAGACATATCTTAGGGTATCATCATGGATGTTTACAAGAAGAACAAGAGCAGACCCTGTTTTCTGAGAACAAGGTACAAGCTGTGCGGTTTTAGCCCCGAAATCACTAACAAATGCCCGAAAAGACAAGGTGCTTGTTAATTTGAGTAACTGATCATAGATGTGGTCTGTTATGCTGCAGTTCATCTACTAGTCAGTGGTGGCAGCAGTCATCTACTGTACCAGTGTACTCAATCCTGCTCCAGGAGATCCACCTTCCAGCTCCTGATCCAACACACCTGCCTGTAATCTACAGGTTCAGTCTGAAGATGGCCTTGATCATCTGCTTTAGGTGGATTAGAGCTGCCTCTCAACTTTGCAGGAATCTCCAGGACAGGATTGAGCAGATCTGGGCTACAGGAATATTTCAGCTACTGGTAAGCAAGTATGTTTAAAGATTTTCCAGATGCAGAGCTCAAAGGTCAGTGTCACTCTTTGTCTGTCATGCTCTTCTTGTAAAACCGCCCTAGTGCTTCATGTAAAGAGTATTGTTTCTAAGGATCAGTACATTCAGAGTGAAAGGTACTTTACAAGCTTTGCTAAGATTTGTTGGGATTGTTTGGTCAGATGAATTCTGCCACACGTGACAATGCCTTGTATTCCCTGATGTTGCCAATGACCAATGCTTTCTGCAGGACAGACTGGTGTACACTCAGATCATCTTGGCTTTTGTGATGAATCCTGATCCATGATTCACCTGCCAATTGAATCAATAGGGTTTGAACATAGATTTGTCATAACCCCTACAGAGATTTAGGCTGTGCTTGAAATACAGTACAACTCATAATTTTTTTTTTTTTTTGCTGCAAGTATACTGTTCACATCATACAAATGTTCTATAAAATATTTTTCACATTTGTGAAAATGTTTATAGTACATATACAACCATAGCACACCATCGTGGGTGATGTTTCTCACATTGCAATTTGTCCTTCCAACCAGGAGCAAAATTAAAATAAATCTTGACTCATTTGATAGGATTGCCAAAAGTCTTATGCCACAGTTAAAAATGCCACATTTCTGAGATTGCTGAAGTTAACATGCAATGTGGTAATGTCATGTGATGTTTTTAAATGTTGCATATTAAATACATAAACAATTTCATAAACCAGTTTTAATAGTAGCCTGTATGCTATTTAGTAAGCAGTATGTTAGTTTTTTGTTGCATACATAATGATTGAGATAGATCGAGTTTCGAGACTAACCTTTCTGTACCTGCTGTCCCATCTTAACCAAGATCTCAGCTCCCACGCTATGATCTATTTTGTCTTCCGATTTAGTAAGTCCCGCCCCTAACTTGTGCAGCACTTCAGCCAGGGCCAAACCATCAATGTCCAAAACGGCTCCTGTCAATCAAACGGTTCACACATACACACACACAATGGCTGCTGCTGAGATAATGGACGTGATGATTGCATGCAGATGAATAACAGTGAATATTAATAGCGGGCTCTGTGCAGTCTGTTTATAATCATGCCTGTGCTGTTAGTGTTATGTAAAATAATTAACATATTTGATTCTCAAACGAGAACATGGATCATAATTACCATCATCTAGCACCTTAAGCTCTGTCTGATGTGCTGCACGGCTCATGTGCTGAAAGTAGTCGGTCTCGTATGAGCACAGGGAACGTGCAACTTCTGCAGACACACCCTGAGCCTCCAGCATCGCCTGGAACTTTTCCAGGGCTTCTCCATTCTTCAGCTTTAGAGCGATTTCCTTTGTCCCACTCTCTACAGTAAAGTCGGGGCTACACATGTCCAGGAGATGTCCACCTGAATGTAATGACACTTTAATGCTTCCTTATCACTGACATTTGTGGACAACTTAAGAACATCACAATTAGACATTTGGTTTCATTATGTCATAGGGCGTGTTCACTCTGAACTGTGGTCTCGCTCCGCTTCTAAATGAAATCTGATGCGGTTTGACTAAAATATGAACAAAACAGGGACCAAAGACATGTAAATTAACCAAAAATAAGAGGTGATGTTTCAAGATGCGACTCTAAATAGGACAGAATTCTGAAGCTGGGCTGTTTTTTCTGATCATAGGAGAGAAAATGCAGATCTTACAGTTAGGTACAGGCATCAGAAACGCAGTCTCTTTTTAGCGGATCTTTATTTGTGTGGAGGTACACACTTGTTTTGACACGCAAAATAAGTTTTGTGTGTGTTTGTTTTTTTGTATCATTTGGTTTGGTCTTAAAAATGATAGTGTGAACATTAAGCGAATCAGGACTAAATGTATTAGTTTCCTTTTTTGGTCTGAACCAAGAGAACCGAAGTACAAGTGTGAACAGCCTTGCAGTGGGATGTTTAAACATGGTTCGTTTCCTTACCTAAAATTGTAACTAGTTCTGTGAGATCATCTGGCCCTCGTCCTTTAAGACACTCAAGAGCCTCACACACCTCAACCGCATTTCCTACAGTCTGGCCAATAGGAGCGTCCATTCGGGTAAGCACCGCCCTTGTCTTCACACCCAGCTTGTTGCCTGCAGTGACCTATTGGAACATGGATTGTGTGACATTCAGAGTTGAATTTAGAATGGCAATTCAAATCATGAACTGAGTTTGAATTTGAGTTAAAGGAGTAGTTCACTTTTAAAAAAAAACTTTTGCTGATAATTTACTCACCCCCATGTCATCCAAGATGTCCATGTCTTTCTTTCTTCAGTCGAAAAGAAATTAAGGTTTTTGATGAAAACATTCCAGGATTTTTCTCCATATAATGGACTTCAGTGGAAACCAAACGGTTCAAGGTCGAAAAGACAGTTTCAGTGCAAACTGTTCAAAGGGTTTTAAACGATTTCAGACAATGAATAAGGGTCTTATCAAGCGAAACGATCGTTCATTTAAAAAAAATAACGAAGTTTAAGTTTTATAAGCTCAAATGCTCACCTTGCTCGGTTCTGTGATGCGCGTTCGTGACTCTCCTGTTCGAACTCGCTCATCAAAGGGAACAAATCTTTTTTCGTGTCATTTGGTTCATTCAACAAACGAATTGACTCGGGAAAAGATTAGTTCATTTTAATGAACGAGTTTGAACAGGAGAGTCACAAACGCGCATCACAGAACAGAGCACGGCGACCATTTGAGCTTATAAAACTTAAACTTCGTTATTTTTTTTTTAAATGAGTGATTGTTTCACTTGATAAGACCCTTATTTATCGTCTGGTGTCATTGAAAGCCCTTTGAACAGTTTGCAGTTTGCACTGAAACTGTCTTTTCGACCTTGAACCGTTTGGTTCCCACTGAAGTCCATTATATGGAGAAAAATTCTGGAATGTTTTCATCAAAAACCTTCATTTCTTTTCGACTGGAGAAAGAAAGACATGGACATCTTGGATGACATGGGGGTGAGTAAATTATCAGCAAAAGTTTTTTCGAAAGTGAACTACTCCTTTAAGTTTGCAAACAAGACGCGAAATTCTCTTTTGGCACTCAACGAAGGTGGTCGCATTTTCTCTCCTTCCCCTTCTTTGCTGCAGTGAACTGTGAGACTCTCTCTCAGCTGTGCTCTCCAAAACTAAAAAATCATGGATCTCTCAACGCAATTGACACCATCTTCTCGACGAGAAGCTTGGGTTCGTGGGAACCCGACTGCCCGGCTGGAACATTAGCAGCCGGCTACACGTTTTGGGAGAGGGGGCGGGTCGTGTGTCTGGCGGCTCTTTCCGTGGAGATCTCTACCTATTCGGAACCATGATAACAGGTCTTTTGCTGATTGGATTAGGCCTGGTTGTCTAATTCAATCTAAATTCACAATCATGAATTCTGTATTTCTGAATATTGCTCATGCCTGATGGATATTAAGAGCATCATATTTTGAACCAATTTAATTTTGGATGCGACTTCCAAAAAAATAAATGGATAAATTGCATGATTATTGTAAAAACTGCATGTCAGAAATCACAGTTACATCTAAATTTGGTTAGTCTATGGAGTTCCTCAACTTATGACTTTTCCCCCATGGAAAGTCTTCTTCTCTTTGGTCTTCTCTTGTGAGCACGTGGGCCAGGACTGCTTCTGGAGCCCCTTCAAAACTGTCTGCAAGATGCCACTAAATAAATATACAGATTGTTTTATTCTAAAGGCATGCACACAGACAGAAGAAGCTCTCTTACCAGTGACTGAGCAAGTTTGCGAGCACTATCCAGATCTTTATACAGAGCAGCCCTGCCAAACTTCACATCTAACACAAGAGCACTCAGACCTTCAGCTCCTTTCTTAGAAATGATGGAGCCTGTACAGAAAATGGACAAAATGATCAGGAGAAGTATAGGGTCATCACTGTGATGTCCAGGGTAATCTTACCAGTGATAAGAGGAAGACTATCAACCGTGGATGTGGCGTCTCTGATTGCATAGAGAACACGATCTGCTGGCACCAGACTCTCTGTCTGTCCCACAATGCAACAGCCCACATCCTGTAGGATCTTCTCCACCTAGAAGAATAATATAATATTGCTAAAATTGAGCTGACCATCAGTTCAGGTGTAATCAAATCCCACTTGTTCCCACATTACCTGTTGAATGGATTGGGAGACATTAAACCCAGGGATAGACTCCAGCTTGTCCAGGGTGCCACCTGTATGTGCCAGTCCTCGTCCACTTATCATGGGCACCTAGAAAAACCCATAGTTATATTTAGGTTTTTAAATGCCATAGTTTTCTTAGATTTTGAATGCAAATAGCCTACACCCACTGTGCATTGGAATTTAAGATCACGACTTGAAATAAAGTTTTGTTCTTCAACATGTTAATTTTAAAAATTCATTCATAAAATTACTAAAGATTATTTCGTTTTCATGTTGTTGAATGTGGACCTTTTAATATTAGGATATGGCAATTGGTCGTCGTGTGTACCATACCTTACAGCCACACGCAGCCAGAGCAGGAGCGAGTGGAAGACTGACTTTGTCTCCAACCCCACCGGTTGAGTGCTTGTCTACCACCCACCATTCCTCCGGCCATTTTAACGTATCCCCGGAGTTCATCATCTCTCTCGTCAATGCCAGCGTCTCTTCATCAGTCATGTTCTGCTGCCATATGGCCATTAGCATAGCGCCTGTGCAATTACAACACAATTGTTTTTGTAAAATTCCACACAAAAGTTTTCTTTGCGTGTGTCTTCTTAAAGGTAGGGTAGGCAATTTGTTTTATTCAGGCATGAGACATGAGCTAATTTAACGGCGTCTCTCGTCTCGTGATGCTTTGCGGACTCTGCTGTGTGTTCATGTGTTTTGGTGAAGGTGTGGCTTTGGGGACGCTCTGAATGAATGGAGGCATATACTTTCAAAACTAGCTTGCTATTGCTAGCCTCCCGAAATTGCGTACCCTACTTTTAACGTATTTACTGAATTTAGGTGATAATGGTCTTACTGATAATAATCTCGTCAAATCCACTGCGACACCATTGTGTCCCTGAGCAAGACACATAACCCCTAGAGGCGTGCGACCTCTGACATAATATAGCAATTGCAAGTCGCTTTGTATAAATGCGTCAGCTAAATGAATAAATGTAAATGTAAATGTAATGTAAATGTCTTTACCTATTTGACTCTTCTGGATGGTTTGTGATGTGACTCCTTGCACAAATGTTCGTATCTCTGCTGGGCTGAGTTGGTCACCGTCTCGTTTCAGCTTTATAAGCTCAGGGAAACTTTTTGTGTTGTCATTAGATGACATCTTTACTTCAGATTAGATGTCTTCTCCAGTCAAGAGCTTTCTGAGGCATAAAACAGGAATTTTTCGTAAAGGGTTAGATTTTACTCTGGTTGTGCGAAAGTTGATTTCATTTTATAATGATCCTTGTCCAGCTCTTAAAATATTGCAGTTTATTGAAGTTATCCATTTACACAGTATAACGATCTAAATTATAAAGTATTCACAATGGAATTAATATTTATAGTTTAATAATTATAGTTTCAAAATAATATAAAAACATTTTTAACATTCTATTTTAACATTTTTTTTTAATGAGATGCTTTTTTTAATGATAATAGATATACTCATGGACATAATATAACCGGTTTAGAAATCAAGGTACTGTAAATGAGATTAGAGGAGTTGGGATCTCGGCCAATCACAGTTCACTGCAGTATAAATGAATGATCTAGAAAACACTGCACACAGAACATTGTAAATAACAAAACAACAACAACAACAACAACAAAACCTTTGTAAATTCAAAAGTGAAAGTGACAAAACCTCTTATTAGGATTTGCAATTTCTGATTTACCTAAATCATAGCCTATGATTTATTTCAATGTTTCTTTAAAAAAAAAAAAATCTGTTAACTCCGACATCATAGAAAAGAGTATAAAAAAATAAGACTGCTTTGTATTCAAGCTCAATATCTGATTGCGCAGATAAATGTGAACAAGCAAACACTTACCGTCTCTATCTGCGTGCCGAGTAAATAGCGGTAGAATAACTACGTACACTCTGTCAGATGATCACGTGTCAGTGACACATTAACCAGTCTCTTCTGAATATCAGTGTGTCATGAACGTGAAACACTGGCTTCCATGTGGACACCCGAGGCTATAATGTGAAATTACAGCATCGACTGCCAATAAACTCCAGTAGTCATTTTATTTAATAATGCTAAAATATCTTATGTCATAAAAAATAATTGGTAACGCTTCATACTGAAAACAACTTTCATGAATGAGAATAATTGCTATTATAAGCTTTGGTATGAGGTGTCCATAATGTTTCATAACTAACTTTAGTATATAATTGAGCTTTTCTTTCATTCATATTTTAATGTATATATTTTATGCATTAATGAGTTAGCTGATCTGCATTTTTTATGGAACAGGGCTAGTTGTCAAGTGGAGAAGTTGTTACAAGAGCCTTGTGTCAACCAAAGGCTTTGAGTCAAAAGTCCAATTACATGCTTGTTTTCAGTTGTAGGTGGCCTCAAATGGTTCAAACCTGCATTTGGACTCTTTTTGTGACATCTGTCCCTCTAAACATAAATTACAATAGCCTATCATAATAGTAAAATAGCCTGTGGTGCACTCAGATTTTTTTTTTTTTTTTTGTTATGTTTTTGGTGGCCCAAACAATTTTTTGTAAGTTAGCTACAATTAAGATTTATTTATTTATTTATTTATTTATTTGCTGTTTTTTTTTTTTTGCGGTTTTATAGACTATTTATTTAAAAATTGTCAAAACTGTTGTTATTATTATTTTTTATTAAAGCTAGGTAAAAAAAATATATATATTTTTATGAACCATCCCAATGAATGAAAAGAACATTGTGGCGCCTCCCATCCAATAAATTGCAATGAGTATTGTTACTTTTGATATGAAATAAAGCTTTACATTTTAATTCTGTACATTTTAAATAAATACATAATAAATACATTTTGGCGCTCTTTCATGACGAAGAGAAGACACGTGAACTGATCGTCTCTTCCGTTTTACTAACATTACAGCAAGAAATACACATGAATGAACATCAGAAGGTAAAGATACAGTAAAACTTACCTAAATCCATATTATGTCTCATGTAATCGATCAATCGGTAGTTCAATAAAACCGCCTGAGAACAACGTAAATTTACCTCAGAAAAGCCACGAATGACCTAACGTTAACTCATTTGTCAGCTAAAAAAAATGTAGCCTACTCTAGAGAGATTTTTGCCAAAATGTTCACCATATTACACACACACATACTGTTCTTCAATATTTAAAGTAGCTCGTGTTTTGAATAAATCAGTCAAATTTTGATGATGGCTCCCATTAAAATGTTTAAGATAAATTTTAATGGCATATTAATAACAATAAAAAAAATGGAGTAGAAACAGAATTATGTAATTATAAAGTTATTCTAACTTTATTTTTATAAAAACTGCTTTGTGTGTAATTTAAGTGTTTTACAAATCAATTAATTTTAACATTGAACAGTAATGTAGTAGCCTACCAATTGACTCCCTGTGTAGTTTACAGCATTAATACTGTAGACCTATATCAAAAATAATTTATATTGAATTGAATTGGAATCAAATCAAACGCTTGTGAATTGAAATAGAATCAAATCGTGAAATTTGTGTAAATACCCAGCCCTATCATTTAAGACAAAGAGGCTGGAGTATCGCTGAATATTAATATATAACATCTTTCCATGTAGCTCTAATGTTGTATACTTACTCTGATTTCTCAATTATGTCATGTTTTAACCTTTGCTGTGTCTGCACTATAAACATAATTGGATTTGATTTACTCTCAGCACTTGGATTGTCTATAAATAGTATATTTTATAAGTGTATTTATGAGCACTATTACAGTAACTAGCATTTTCTTACATCTCTTGATTGGTATTCAACATAGAAAGTGTTTAGAATTAATTTGGCTCACAAAAAATGTATTTAAAAAAACTGGAAAATGTGTGTGTATACATTCTAAAGTTCTAAAAATGTATAGAGGAAAAAATCCGACCCTCTTCTTTTGCTCCAGAAGAATGATGTATTATTTGATTAATCCCCACAGCCTGAGAGATGATCTTTAATAACAGACAAGTCAAATTATATTTTTTGTTTACATTTTCTCATTTTAAAGCAAACATGTCCAAAACTTGATCCTCAAATCACTTCATCCAACAAAGAATACAAAAAAGGTGTCAACAATAGAAGAGAGAGCTCCTAAAAGTAGTAAACTAAAAGAGCATGGCTGCAGTAATTAATTACATAATTGTCTTTGAGAGTGGAAATGAGTGAGGATCGGAAGAGAGGGAGAAGGACAGGGACAGATGAGGGAAGTACAGTAATATTTTATGCAGATGGCTTATAAACAGTAGCACCCACATCTTTGTGCAAATTGACCAACCGGAGGAGAGACAAGTGTGAGGATTTTCCCCCTCTGTTGGCAGAGTTTAACTAGTTAAAAGTGTAAACCACAGCAACACCTACTGTTCCAGCTTTAAAAAAAAAAAAAACACAATAAACCAGTCAAGCTAGTTACCAGATAATTTTGACACAATATAATCTCAACATTTGCTTGATTATATGACAATCTTGGGGATTGAAAAAAATAATTTTATATTCACATTTCACAGTAGATATGATTGTAGTCAGAATCAGATTACTTCTACTAGAAACAAAAATGTGTTTGCACAAAGGGGGTCATGAGGGTCAGGGCCACACTGCTGTTTAAGGCCCGTAAGCATAAGCTTTGCATGTGCCATGTTATTACTTTAAGTTGTAGATTTTCCTATAACTGGGGATCAGACAAATTCACGAGTTTAGCAGTCTGCATTGAAACAGATTTTTAATAACACTGTTTAATTTGTCTGTTAAAAGCCCTTAGGTAGCATATTTTGCTTGTAATGTTCTAAACTGAAAGCCTTGGTAAGAATTAAATCCCAAATGAGTAATTCCACAATACGTAACCAAATAGACCATGTCAAAGAAATGTTGTTACGTCTCAAATTCACAAATTGAGCATGAAATGATAAACTGATTATTATTAGTTATCATATACAAAAGGTAACAAATAAATGTATACTTAAATCCCCTGGTATTTCAAATCCTCTGTTTAAACAAAACAGTTACTCTACATACAGACTTACCGAGCATTTATTCATAATAGACAAAAAAAGGTCCGCCCGTAGTTATGAAGTTCTTAAATAACTGACCGTGAACTAGTCCAAAGATTATGTTTATAACTCACAAATCACAAGTTATACCATGGGGAAAAGAGAGTTACTGTGTTTGTGTTAGGGTATTGGTTGATAATTGACAAATAAAATAACAAATATAAAGTAAGACCAAATATGACACAATCTCACAGGGTATAAGACAAGTATATCTCACCTTATTCTCATACATTCTTTTTTGAATATATACTGTATATAACTCCATATATATCATATACATATAAAATTGAATGTACTGATTGAAAATATCTATCTTTAACAAATTTTAGATGGCGGCAGTATTACCTCAAGGCCACACTTGTATTGTATTGGGAGAAGTTTTTTTTCCCTCCTGGTTTAGGGCAGATTGTCAGATCCTTTCTTACTTGGACATGTTGCATTCACATGCCAAGTCCAGTTGCTGCAATGCATCTTACAATCACCATTAACATGGCTATCTACTGTTGCGTTGTAAAATGGTCTGTGAACATATACTGTAAATTCCGGGCACTTGGAAGCATTGTTATTGTTTACAGGAGAGGTCTAAACTCTTCCATTTTCTTTCATATCCAAGTTAACACTGCTTTCTAAAATTCAGAAGTCACTCTCCTGTAAGCAGGAAATGCACACAATTGCAGATGGTGAAGATATTCCTATACTGTTAGAATATGAGAGCAGTCAGTGGGGTTTGCCACACCTTCCTCATCATCATTTGACTGTAAAACATGGCATGAGAAGGAAATGGCTGCTTGCTGGCTATATCATTTTTTATTGTGTAGAAGATCCATTTGAAACATGGCCAGTTCGACCTGTAGCTGAAAATAGCAGATATTGCGCAGTAGGTCCACACTCCCATCCAGCATGTTTTGTTTTTACTCTTAGTAGCTGACAAACTGGTGAAGACACATGGTAGATTTTGTGGGTGTTGAATCAGGGGTAAAATCTATATTATGTAAGGGCTGTGCAATGCTAAAAAAAGTGGGTTGGAATCTATGATTTTAGACTTTGGAACAAGTTAAATTATTAAATAATTTTATGATGGAACTATATCCTGCATTTTGACTCTCTTCAACTCTCTAGCAACTGCTTCAGTGCACGTTCGATGTTCATTCGGTGTCCCACCCGCGTAACCCCTAATTCGGCCAGATCGTCCTTGGTCAGGGCAGGCAGGTGGGCGCCTTCAATCTCGTGTTCCAAAAAGCGGGCACGATGTTCCCCTAATCCCACGCTCTCTAGCCACTCTCCCACATCATACTTACTCCACAGTGCTAGGGGGCGCTGTCTGAATGGTCGCAGGGCCAGGAGAGGGGCTCCTAGTACCGGTGAGGGGCAGGGGGAGGCGCATGGCGAGGGGGATGGAGAACGGCTGCGGGCGCGAGCGCTGGCGCTCCTCATGACAAAACGCACCTCCTTGGGCTCCTGGGGCAAACTTAGGCTTGAAGACTTGAGTATAGTGTGATGATGGTGATGAGGGCCGAATGTACGGACAGGCCCCAATGGTTCACTCCGTTCAGGGGTGGCTCCAGGGCTTGGAGTCCTACGGGTCACTGGGTATCGGCTGCCAGGCCGGACTGTGAAGGTGGTGCCGTAACTCCTCTGAGAGATGGTGTGAAGCTCCCCTAAACTACTAAAGAGTCTAAGAGAGAGAACGAAAAAAATGAACCCAAATAAGAGAGAGGAAGATGTAGCGGAAGCAAAAAAAGTGAACAGAGAATAAGTTTTTAACTGCTGTAGCAGCTTTTGGGAAACTACTGGGATGCTAATGTGAGAGAAAAGGAAAGTGGATCCAATGCTGTAAGCATTTGGGGTTTCTGATAATTTAAATAGTGCAAAGCATGCAGTGAGAACTTAATGC